CAAGGAAGCACCCCTCAAGGTTTTCAATCCAATTAAACACTCACACATCTCATAAAATCCTATTATTAACCTATACCAATGGTCCATAATTCAATTATTCAATTACACCACATACCAATTTCATAAAGTCTTGAAACTCATCACAAAATTGCCTAAGTTATGAATTTACAAATCACCATAAATTTTATTGCATCAATCATCCTCACTCATCATTCTAAGCATTTAATTACAAAGGAGGCATACCATTTAATGCTCCTAACTACCTTAACCCAACTTACATCATCAAAACCCTACTAATTTTTATGATCTCCATGAATATTTAAAGAGGATGGAAGAACTTACCACCAATAGCTTCCAATGATCCTAGGGATTGATATCCAAGCAATGAACCAACCCCAAAGTCACCAAAAATTCTCCAATAATCCCAAATTTTCGTGGCTGATGTATGGCTTTTTCTCCTTCCACAATGCTCCCCACAAGATGCTCTCTACATGGAAGTCACTCACAAGAGTGTGGGGAACAAGTTTGTAGTTGGAAGTTTTTGCTAAAAGTGGCTAGAAAAATAGTTGCAAATTCAAAAAGATCACAACCCTTACAATGGTGAAGGAGCTCGACGGTGGAGAAGAATTTAGGAGAGAGAGTTTTCTGATTTTGGGTTTTAAAAGGTCACTTAAGTCACTTAAACCCTTAGGTGGGTCCCACTCTCGTATTAACTTTAATAATTCACCTAATTTAAATCATGAATTCATATCCTACGTATTTTTCTCATCCACGTCATATTTTTACTTCATAAAAATACTGATCATAATTTCACGCTTAACGGTACATATATACCGCAGTATTTTACACCGGACAAGTCACTATTCATCAAATTTTCCGAAACTTATCTATCCACTCGATTTTTCGTCCTCAATCCATTTCCGGCCTTATTTTTATCATTTGAGACTTTCTACTCAATTTTTCATGCCTAGGGATACGTGTTTGGTAAATTACCATTTTTCCATTTTTACGTATTATGGCCTTAATTCCCGAATTTTCACTAATCCTACCCCTTTTAATCAACATTATCATATATAAATATATATTTAGAAATACGAGGTGTTATATTCACCCCTTCTTTTAGAAATTTTGTCCGCAAAATTAAATCTTACTTGTCCGCTAACTCAGGATACAGCCGGAGAATCTCATCCTCCTGCTCCCAAGTAGCCTCCTCATGTGTGCGGCCTTCCCACTGAATCTTCAACATGGGAATAATTTTACTTCTCAGCCTCTTTTCGATGTGGTCAAGTATCTCAATGGGAGTTTTCAAGTTCTCCCGAATTTCAATATTATCCAGTATCACCACGTGTGCTTCATCCGGAACATACCGCCGCAACTGCGACACATGGAAGACATCATGTAAATTAGACAATTGAGGGGGCAAGGCGAGCTGATAGGCCACCAATCCTACTTTTTTCGTAATCTGATATGGCCCAATGAAACGAGGACTCAGCTTCCTCACACCCAAGGCACAGCCAACCCCCGTGACCGGAGATAACCTCACGAACATGGTCGCCTTCTTCAAATTCTAACGGTCTGTGCTTATTATCATAGTATCTTTTCTGCCGACTCTGTGCCTGTTTAAGCTTTTCTCTGATCATTTTAATTTGCACCGTGGTCTCCTGCACAAAATCCGGACCAAATCTTTCTTTATCACCTACCTCAGTCCAACAAGCAGGAGTACGACATCTCTGCCCATACAAAGCCCCATACGGTGCCATGCCCAGACTGGAGTGAAAACTGTTATTATATGAAAATTCCACCAACCTATCCCAAGCAATACCCTGCTCCAACGTGCAAGCTCTCAGCATATCCTTAAGTGTCTGTATGGTCCTCTCAGTCTGACCATCAGTTTGCGGGTGTTACGCAGTGCTCAGCCTGAGCTGAGTGCCAAAAGCCTGCTACAAAGCTCCCTAAAAATGTGAAGTAAACTTCTGGTCCCGATCACTTACAATACTAACCGGAATCCCATGGAGCCTTACAATCTCATTAACATATAGCTTTGTTAATCTCTTCGTAGTGAAGTCCACTCGCACTGGCAGAAAAGGTGCAGACTTTGTAAGTCTATCCACTATAACCCAGATTGAATCGTAACCAGCCTGAGTCCGAGGCAAACCGACAACGAAATCCATATAGATGCTCTCCTATTTCCACTCTGGTATATCCAATGGCTGAAGTAAACCAGCAGGTTTCTGATGTTCTATTTTACTTTCTGACAAATTAAGCACCTTGATACATACTCAGCAACATCCTTCTTCATCTCAAGCCACCAGAATTTCTCTTTTAAATCTTGATACATTTTTGTGGCACCTGGGTGGATAGCATACTGACCCTTATATGCCTCAATCATTACCTCCTCTGCTAACTCTTTGGGCACAACAATCATGCCCTGATACATTAATAGCCCCTGTTCATTCAAAGATATACCACTCTGCCTTTTCAAATACTTGATACTGTCATTTCGTATATGAGTTTCTCTAATTTTCTCGTGTAACTCATTCTCAATCCATAAGCACTCAACTTCATCCATCCTACCTGCAAAGACATCCGTCAATTTCAAATCCCGAAATTTCTCAATCACTTCATTATCCCATAACATTAGCTGGGACACGCTGACAGACTTCCTACTCAAGGCATCTGCCATACATTAGCTTTACCCGGATGGTATTTCAACTCAAAATCATAATCCTTTAAGAATTCCACCCATCTCCGCTGTCTCATATTCAGCTCTTTCTGATCAAACAAATATTTCAAACTTTTGTGATCACCGAACACAGCAAATTTCATCCCATACAGAAAATGCCTCCATATTTTTAAGGCAAACACAATAGCAGCAAGTTCCAAGTCGTGCGTCGGATAATTTTCCTCATGAGGCTTTAATTGTCTAGAAGCATAAGCAACCACTCTCCCTTCTTGCATCAACACACTCCCCAAACCTTTCTTGGAAGCATCACAGAATAATATAAACTCACCTTTCGGGTCGGGAAGAGTCAACACAGGAGCAGTAGTCAATTTCTCTTTAAGATCCAGAAAACACTTCTCACAATCATGGGTCCACACAAAAGGAGTATCCTTTCGTGTCAATCGGGTCAACGACAGTACCATTGTGGAAAATCCCTTTATAAATCTACGATAATACCCAGCAAGACCCAGAAAGCTCCGGATCTCAGTCAAGTCTTCGGTCGTTCCCAGTCAATTACAGCATCAATTTTATTTGGATCCACTGCAACACCCCTAGCAGAAATAACATGACCCAGAAATTTCACCTCAGATAACCAAAATTCACACTTAGATGGCTCCGCATACAACTTTTTATCCGTTAATACCTGCAACACAGTCCTCAAATGCTCTGTATGCTCCTCTTCACTTGCAAAATAAATTAGAATGTCATCAATGAACACAATTTCAAACTAGTCCAAATACGGTTTAAAAATGTGATTCATATAGTCCATGAACACCGTAGGGGCATTCGTAAGCCCAAAAGGAATCACCTGATACTCATAGTGTCTGTATCTAGAATGGAATGCCGTTTTAGGCACATCCTCCGGCTTAATCTGAATCTGGTGGTATCCGGACCGGAGATCAATCTTAGAAAATACACAGGCACCTCTCAACTGATCCAGCAAATCATCAATACATGGCAATGGGTACCTGTTCTTAACCGTGACCTTATTCAACTACCGGTAGTCAGTACACAATCTCATGCTTCCATCCTTCTTTTTCACCAGTGTTGTCAAACCCGGCCCGACCCGGAACCCGGTGACCCGGTGGGGTAACCGGTTTGGGTTGCACTTTGGACCGGTCATGCAATCAGCCCAGTATGACCCGGATGACCCGGCCGGGTTTTTACGGAACACGTTGACCCTCCGGGTCTTGTAAACCGGTGCGGGTCAAATGCTTATTTAAAAAAAAAAATTAACTCCCTAAAAAGAACACAGCCATAAACGTAAAAAAACATAAAATTCATCGCTGGTCATTTTCACAGGTCCGTCTACTACTTCATCGAGTCACAAGGAAACCCTCAAGAGGACCTTGGTTGTTCTTCTCTCTTCGGAAAGGTATCTTTTTCAACATTTATCTCATCGAGTCATTGCTATTTTTTTATTTTTTGGTTCCAAGTATATTTTTCCTTGATTTTGTGAAGTATGTATGGTGTAGGCTAAACACAGCGTGGGAATTACAGACCAAAATGTTGGTCAAGATTTAAATGAGTTTGGTAGAGAAAGAGAGCTAACTGACACAACTTTGGCACCATGGGCATAGTGATAGCATGTAGTTTCATTCATTTGTTCTTATTTTTTTGCAATTTACTAATTAAGTATGAACTTGTAATAGTGTGATAGGATAATTTTTGAGCTTATTTAATGAATCTTGCTTATCTCTTTTAGATATGGAGAATATTTTAAATTTATATATTTATATTTATATATATTTATAGATATATGGGTCAACCGGTTCGACCAGTGACCCACCGGTCCGACCAGTGACCCAGTATCCCGACCGGGTCGATGCCCGGGTCGAGTCTAATAACACTATTTTTCACAAATATAATCAGTGCTCCCCACGGAGACACACTCGGTCTGATAAAATCCTTGGCGGACAGCTCCTCAATATGTTTCTTCAATTCAGCCAACTCAAATGGCGACATCTGGTATGGAGCCAAAGAGATAGGCCCCACACCAGGCAACAACTCAATCGAGAACTCAATCTCTCTCAGGTGGGAATTCCAGTATCTCATCAGGAAACACATCCACAAATTCATTAACCACCGGAATACTCGAAATCTCTACCTCTTTATCACCCACCAATCCACCCAAGAAAACATAACCCAGATCACCAACCTTCAAGGCTTTAATTGTTTGGCAAACAGACAGAAAAGGAGACGGACAAACCGAGGGCTTCTCGTGAGATAATATCAACCTCTTGCCGTAGCAATTAATCATTGTGCAGTTTTGAGACAACTAATCCATCCCTAAAATCAAATTCACTGAGGCCAGGGGAAAGATAATCAAATCAATAGTGTAACCCCTGCCTTCATAGACGAACTCAACCTCCTCACATATATAGGATGAATCACTAACCTCTCCTGTAGCAGTAGTAATGGGCATAGGGGGAACCATTCGTGTTACCTTTAAGTTCAATGCCTTAGCCACATATTCCGCCACGAACGAATGTGTTGCTCCCGAATCAAACAATACAGACAAATCAATATTAGAAATGAAAATTATACCTTTTACCAGATTTGGGGCCCTTTCAGTATGTTGTGCATTAGTAGTATACACTCGTCCAATTGTAGGAATAGCAGTAGCAACAGTAGTAGTAGTAGTAGTAGTCGGTAAGGCCTGTAGATTCGCAGCCTGCCCAGTAGCAGATGGACAACTCCTAGCAAAATGGCCAGCCCGACCACACTTGAAACACGCCCCCGGGGAAGCTCCACATACACCTTTGTGGTATTTCTTGCACTTTCCACATTGTGGGGTATAATACCTGTCAACAGCTCCACCATTCGGGGCCCCATTCCTCTTGAATTGACTAGGAGGCTGCCTTACTTGCAACCCCTTACCCCTGTTGTTATTGTGATGGTAGCCACCTCTATTATTATTATTACCAGAAAGACCAGATGTCCTCTTCATTTCTTGCTCTTTTGTCGAATTAGATTTCGAATATCTTCCATAAACAGTTTCAACCCTCTTACATTGGGTCACAAGATCAGCAAAATTTCTCACTGCCGTATTTGACATCCTCGTAGCAATATTTTCACTCAGTCTTCTTTGAAACTTAGCAGATAAAAACTCGGGCGTAGGTAGGGTACCCCCATAATTGGTAAACTTTACCAACTCATTGAATTTAGCCAAGTAGGCATCCACGATCATCGACCCTTGTACAAGCTTATCAAACTCTCCTTGCTTTGCCTCTCGGATATCTTGGGGAAAATATTCTTCGTGGAACAAGCCTTCAAATAAGGCCCATGTCAACTCTTCACCTTGAATAGTAAAAGGGTGAGTTACATTGCACCACCACTCGTGGGCATCACCCTCCAGCATATACACAGAGTTATGGGTGTTCATCAACCGATCCAAACCGATTCAAACCGCGATGATCGAACCGAAAAACCGATAACCGAATAAACCGAAAACCGAAAAACCGAAAACCGATTAAAAACCGCAAATTTTAATTGGATTGGATCGGTTTTTGGATGGGTTGATGAAAACCGATCCAATCCAAACCGATCCAATATATTAATTTTCCTCTACCTACTTGGGTATTTCCCTAATCATAGCCTAAAAATTTCTAAACCCAAGACTCATTAACTCATCAACTAAACCCAAGAAAAAATCTAATCATATCTCATCAACAAAATTTTATCTTTGTAGAGCTTCATATCTCATTGCTAAAATTAAAAAAATTATATTATAGTTTACTAATGCTTTTATATTTCAAAAAAAATTACAAAGTCAATATATACAAAAGATGTTATTTGCACAATAATCATGAAATAAATTTTAGGATTTTCAAAAAACCGAAAACCGATCCAATCCAAACCGAAAAAATTGGATTGGATTGGATTTGAAAAAAATCAAAACCAAATGGATGATTATATGATCAAACCGAAGGGATTGGATCGGATGATTTTTACTTCGAAAACCGATCCAATCCAGACCGCGAACACCCCTACACATAGTACAATAATTTCTAAGGATCCTGACACCTCATAACCTGGAATATCTTATCCATCCCTCTCAGCCATGTAGTAACCTCATTCGGGTCCTTTGACCCCAGAAATACAGGTGGTTTGTGTTTTCTAAAAGATATGAGCCTTCGCTCATCAGCAGCATCATCAACAACTTGCTCAGCAACCCCAGATGTCTGAGCGACAGATTTCGGGTCAATAGAAGGTTCTGGAATATATGTAGGATCAGTAGTATGGTGACTAGCCTCACCAGTATGGTGACTAGCCCCACTCTCCCCCTGATGAGGAGTAACAGACGGCGTAGGTGGATGAGTCACCGTAGTCGTATGCGGAGGAGAATCATCCCTCCGATGACGAACTCTATCAACCCTCATCTCAGTTATGAAGGCCCGCAACATATCCTGATTGTTCTTCATCAGGTTTTTAGTCATAGTCTTATTGGCAGCCGTCTCCTCCTGCGGAGCATTAAGAACTGCAGCAACCGGATCAGGCGGCTGAGGACCTGCACCTCGTGTTCCACAGCGACCCCGTGCCCTACTCATGATATTTGTACATGTAACACAAAGGAAAGAGCTGTCAGACCCACACTGAGGAATCACATATACATTAATCATAAATAGTTCACAGATAGCTATGCAACACAAAATATAATCATACATACTCAGAGTTCCCTAACCAAAACTGCTCTAATACCATAAAATGTAACAGTCTGTTACGTACCGGTAATGTTATCATTGCATATGGTATTAAGCGCAGTTACAATCACAGTAGTTGAGTTAATTAAATGACGGGTAAACTTTTTCTTTTATTAAATCTGCATTGTTAAACAATTAATCATTATTGTAACTAATCAAAACAACTCCGTAATTGTAAATGCATAACTCGCGGAAGCATAAAACATATTAATTATCATATCTCTAATCAATACCATTGATTTTAGCTTTTATAAAACACATTTTCGAAATTTAACACAGTGGTAATCGATTACCAAAGGTTCCAGAATGAGGAAATAGCTCAATTTAGGCTCCCCTGTTTTGGGTAATCGATTACCTTAACATAGGTAATCGATTACTGAACTAGGTAACTGATTACCCATGCAAAGGTAATCGATTAGTTTGATCACAGTGGCTCAATTTTTGCGCCCCCTGTTTCAGGTAATCGATTACCTTGCAGTAAAAATGACAGATGACAGCTTTAAATACCCAAAATGAGTGAGGTAACTTACTCCTAACACCTTGATATTTAATATACACCTTACCCAAGTACTAATGTAGGCTCTAGGCCCTTTCATCATACATATCCATTATGCAATGCATCAATTACAATATATCCTATTTGTTTTTCCATTTACACATCATATGGCTCATTTTACATCACAAGTCACTAAATGCCTTTAAACATAATGTGTGGCCATGGACAAGTCTCATGCTCACCAAAATACCAATATAAACCAAGGCATGAAATATAATTCAGATACAAAAGACTTAGAATCTAATCATGAACACCACAAAAGCATGGAATCTCAACATGCAATATGTTCATGATCTAAGTCCCAAAATGCTAAATAAAATGCTATGTGCATCATATATGCTCCTCCAAAATGTCATGCTCTCCATATGCACATCATTCTCAACTCGTCTACTAAGCGGGCCTCTTGCCCGAAGCTCCTCTGTGCTCACTATATCCTGAAATGAAGTCCCCAAACGCGGGGTGAGATATACAAATATATCTCAGTAAACTAAGGGTATTAGAGGATTACTCCACCCCATAGCTCACTCAATGTGCAATAGTAACATAATGTAAACATGCAAATGCATACAAAATCACCAACAACTGGGCACAAAACCAAGAACATCCTCATAAGGATTCCGTTCAAGGCCCCATCATATAACTCCCGGGAATCTTCCTGGTGCCTCTCCCAAGGATGAGACAACTGTTGGGTGGTTTGCTGATGGTGGAAAAATATAAGTTCTGATAGAGGACGTTCTTCTGTTCTTGCAGAACACAGATTCGTCCCTCAGTTCCAACCCAAGTGCGCAAGTGCACGCATCAAGTAATAAAGGGAGTATTAATGCCCAAATTATCGTTCCCACGAGGATAGAGTGCTAATTATTGTTTTATCATTGTTTATAAAGAGTGAAAATGAGAAGAAAAGTTAGTAAATGAACTGTCTGGTCAAACGTTCCCTACTGTCTTGACAACGTTTCTCAGGAACAGTAGGTTCAACCTGATGGCAAACAGTTGCTCGCTGCGTTATGTATGTGATCCTTCCTGTTTAGAAGAAGGTAAGATAACAATCATTGGAGTTTTTATAAGTACTAAATAAAATAAAATAAAATTACTAAAACAGAAATAACTATAATCAAGAGACAACAGGGTGGTGGTTAAAACAGTTTAACAGAAGGAACAAATTCACTGCTTCACTCTTAAATGGGCTGTTTTCTCTACTCAAGACTTAGCACCTTTTGGCTTTGTCCCAGTTTCTTTGCCTGCCAACTTTGATTCCTTAGCTCATGGTCTAGATGGCTCACAAGTTTCCATATTCCTATGGCTCCCTTGACTTCAACAGGTACTTAGTCCAGAACCTTAAAACGGACGAGTTGGCCCCTTATTCCTAAGGTGACCTGTAGCATTTTTGCCATGACATCTACCTTCCCCCAATGGCTAAGCTGTATGAAATCCCTTCCTTATGGAAGTTCCTTTCTCAGTATGTACCCAATTTCCATTGGCGCACAATGAATATAGCTTACTTAGCCAAAGAAATACAAAAAGCTTCGGTCAAGAGTTTTGAAAACAGTTCTTTAAGAGTTTCACAGTTTACCCGTTCCACATATAGTTTAGCTCATGCTTGATAGTTTAAACATAATTATTCTCAACTGAGATCACATAGACCCGAGATTCAGTCAAGTGATAACGATTGGAACGAAGAGAAAAACACTTATATTAATTTAAAAGACAGTTTACAAAAAGAAACAAAAAATGGAGAAAGATGGGTATTTGCTCGTGAGGAGTCTTGATGGTTGTTTACAGAGAAGGGAAGAGGGGTTGTCGCTTAACTATAGTTACAACCGAAATTTAAACTAAGTTACTAACTACTACTAAGTGATCTCTTCCTTTCGGACTGCAAACCCTCCAGGATTCGATGATGTTTTTGTGTGAGGGAGGTCCTATTTATAGCTGGAAGAGGAATGACAAGGTTGTAATTCCCTTGGAGCTAGTTGCTTGAATGAGGGGACGGGACTGTGGCAGCAGAGTGTGAAGCTTGCGTGAATTTCTGAATGGAACAGGATTTGGTGATGATTAGTCGTTGTTTGCAGGCCTTCCCATGTTTTGCTTCTGTTTTCAGCCAATGAGAACTCTTGATTCTCTGCTCTTCACGTTTCCAGCTGCTCAGTTGGTGCACCGCCTTGCTTTTTAGAAGTCTTTAACTCTACGTTACCTACAAAGTGTACAAAAGCATTAAATAAATTGAGCAGGTGCATTAAATGTGTCTCAGTCCGTTCTCCTTTTAATATATTTTAAAAGAATTAATACGTTACCATCCGTTGCCCCACTGTGTTTTTGTCACAAATGTGTAAAACAAGTGATTTTCATGTTGAAGTTGCTCATCAGATGAAGGAACGTATGGTATTTTGCCATCAAAATGGGCTTAGATGGGAACGAATTTACATCCCATCAACGACCCCATGGCAAAACCCAACTAGAAATCCTCATGAGCCCTATCTAGCGGAAGTCCCACGTTTGGATTATCCTGGTGCCGCTCCCAGAGTCAGCCCCATGGCAAAACCCAGCCGGAATCCCCAAAGGATATCTCCAGCGGAAGTCCAAACCACACACATCTACTGGCCAGAGATCACAAAATTCAACACACAATATGCTCCAAACATGTCACACAATCAAGCAATAATGCATGAACATACATATTCACACAATGCCAAAAGCACAAAATCCAACCACAACCTTCCACTAGGTGTGGTGGAGCACACAAGGGACTAAACCCAAGTTCCAAAGGTTTACCTCAAGTCCAAGCACAATGCTCCAAAACGTACGCTCCAAGCTCAATCCTCCACTATCGCGTCCGTGAGAGGAAACTTATATGATCAAACATCGTGACCATCAACCAATTGCAAACAACCAATCAATTTCACACAATTTTAAAACCAATTTATAGTCACTTAGACCTAATGGCCCTTTCCCATTTAATTCAATTATCTTAACTACTTGACTCATCAAAGTAATTCACCAACCCATCCATTATACACTTAATCATCATCCATTGCCTAAACCATATTTTCACATCATTTTTCCTCCCAAATACCTATGGTTCGAATTCTTCAAGGAAGCACCCCTCAAGGTTTTCAATCCAATTCAACACTCACGCATGTCATAAAATCCTATTATTAACCTATACCAATGGTCCATAATTCAATTACACCACATACCAATTTCATAAAGTCTTGAAACTCATCACAAAATTGCCTAAGTTATGAGTTTACAAATCACCATAAATTTTATTGCATCAATCATCCTCACTCATCATTCTAAGCATTTAATTACAAATGAAGCATATCATTTAATGCTCCTAACTACCTTAACCCAACTTACATCATCAAAACCCTACTAATTTTTATGATCTCCATGAATACTTAAAGAGGATGGAAGAACTTACCACCAATAGCTTCCAATGATCCTATGGATTGATCTCCAAGCAATGAACCAACCCCAAAGTCACCAAAAATTCTCCAATAATCCCAAATTTTTGTGGCTGATGTATGGCTCTTTCTCCCTCCACAATGCTCCCCACAAGATGCACTCTACATGGAAGTCACTCACAAGAGTGTGGGGAACAAGTTTGTAGTTGGAAGTTTTTGCTAAAAGTGGCTAAAAAAATAGTTGCAAATTCAAAAAGCTCACAACCCTTACAATGGTGAAGGAGCTCGACAGTGGAGAGGAATTTAGGAGAAAGAGTTTTCTGATTTTGGGTTTTAAAAGGTCACTTAAGTCACTTAAACCCTTAGGTGGGTCCCACTCTCGTATTAACTTTAATAATTCACCTAATTTAAACCACAAATTCATATCCTACGTATTTTTCTCGTCCACGTCATATTTTTTCTTCCTAAAAATACTGATCATAATTTCACGCTTAACGGTACAATTATACCGCAGTATTTTACATTGGAAAAGTCACTATTCATCAAATTTTCCGAAACTTACCTATCCACTCGATTTTTCGTCCTGAATCCATTTCCGGCTTTATTTTTATCATTTGAGACTTTCTACTCAATTTTTCATGCCTAGGGATACGTGTTTGGTAAATTACCATTTTGCCCTTTTTACGTATTATGGTCTTAATTCCCGGATTTTCACTAATCCTACCCCTTTTAATCAACATTATCATATATAAATATATATTTAGAAATACGAGGAGTTATAGTTTCCCCACCCTCGAAGTGGGGCCTTAATACATTAGGTACACAAGGTGTTTATTTGTTACCTATGTCAATAATAACTTATTAAACACTTAGTCCATCAATAAACCCTCTTAGGTTAAGGCCTTTTCCACTTAACTTACAACTAATCAAGACATCTATCATCACTATATGTCATTCATAACCTTGAATATTAATTCGCATTAGGATCCTAAGACTCAAGTTCACAACTTAAGACAATTCAAAGAATCACAATCCAATCCTCAAAGATCATTCACTTTTAAGCCTTTTTAACTAAGTTAATTAAACTATAAGCCACTGACTCAAGGATTAACCAAATCAAGGACACCTACCCTTGTATGTTCGTGGCACACTATAAGGTCTCACAACATGGAAAATCAACTCACACTTTAATCCACAAGTGGAATTAATCCATAATTATACAATCAAACCCTAATTCATCTTTCTTTACCATTTTGCAACCTAAAACCCTAATTAACCAAGCTATGGCCGAATATGTATAGGGTGTTTCCATATGATTTTTCCATCATTTAATTACCTACATATGTGGATTTAAACTCACCTTAAGCTTAAGTTAGCATTTAACCCCTTAATTAGGTTTAATTAGTAAACCCTAATTAGGTTTAGTTTGAAACCCTAAGTGAACATAAATCTAAGGTTTTTCACTTTATTATATCCCATATATAATTCCACATCATCAATTATGTACTATTTCATTAACTTCACTAATTACATGATTAGTAGTTCTAAACCCTAATTAGGTCAAATTTTAGGGTTTAAGAGTTAATTAGTCAATTATGCTTAATCCACCTCTCTTAGTCCCTCCATTAGTGTCCTAATTAAGTCTTGAAACCATTTTTAAAATATCAAACCCTAGGGTATCCCAAGTGGCTGAATTGTTTAGTGCACAAAGTTAGGGTTTTTACTTGTCTTTTTCCACACTTTCTTTGTTTAATTAACTCCCTCAAGCCATTAGTCCACACAAGTATCATCTTTATAATTTTTAACCACCAAACCCTAAATTAAATGGATAGGAAAGAATTATAACATGTGGTTTTTAGGGTTCTTAGTTCATCCACATTAAAAACAACTCACACATCTACCAAAGGTGACACTTTTTCTCACAAGTCTTCATTTTTCTTGATTTTAAGACATCCACCAACACATTTGAACATCAAGACTCTATTTTTAATAATTTACAACATCATTATCATCAATAACTCATCATGGCCAAAATGAAAGTGGAGGAAAGAAAGGGTTTGTGGTCATCTTTTCCATGGATTTAAGCCTTACTTCTCCAATATGGCTCCTTTAGCTCAAGCTCAAATCTTTACCCACCAAGAATGTTTCTTTTTCACCAAGAACACACCTTCATAAGATATTCAAGGATTTAAAATCAAGAACATAACTTTAAAAGAGTAAAGGTAGGATTTTCAAGAAGAAAATACAAGGAACTTAAACTAGAAAATCAAAGAATGACAAAGGGAAGTATGTTCTTCAACAAAGAGCTTCAACCACCATTTTTTACCATAAGAGGTAAGAATATGCAGCTGCTGTATGGGAAAGTTTAGCCACAAAAATGGAGGGTCCAAGGGTCAAGAACACAAGCTTTCACAAGTTCAAGAGCTAAAGAACAAGATTGGTGAAATGTGTTTTGGATTTTGATGAAGTTTAAGTGGTGGAATTTTAGAGAGAAGATGGAGAGAATTTGAAAACTCAAGCTTAGAGAGAAGGTGAAATGGGTGGCTGATGGGAAGGGAAGGGGAAGGGTTCATTAAGTTTTTAGGGTTTTGTCATATCATCTACGTGACTTTCTGTCATTTAGTAACTCCCGGTGTAATTTTTCTTTGAACTGCTGTCAAATTTTTACACAAAAATCCCCAAGATCTCAACTTTAAGTAATTAATATTAAGTTTTTTTAATTAACATCTTTCTAACTCAAAAATCTAATTAGTATCTCACAGATACAGTTTCTGCTATTTAACTACACTGTAGTCCTTACGAGTATCCTTAACTGTACCCGGACTTCATAATTTTCTTAACTTTACATCATTGGTCTAATTATGACTTGTTTGACATATATTGGACTTATATTCTCTTTTCTCAATTCATAACTCTACCGGCTGCTGTCACATCAGTACAAAATATCTGGTAAGAGTGACTTATCAAAATACTCCAATATGGGTATCGGGATTCACAGAATCAAATTATCTTATCATTTATGATAATTATATCGTTAGAATAGTCCTCTATCTATGATTCACTGATTAGGGTTAATCAGATACCTGTTATTACCTCAGCAGTATAAAATATCCGGTCTAAGACTCACTTTCTCAGAATACCCACAATGTGGGTGTAAATTTTTACAGAATTGAATTCTAAACTCCTTTATAATACTTATATCATTTGAATAACTCTTTAACTCAGATTCACCTAGTTAGGGTTATTCTATTTTTTGTTGTTGCATCAGCAGTCAAAGATAACCGATAGAAATCCACATGTTTAGAATACCATCAATATGGATATCAAAATTTCTCTAATTTCATCCTCATCTCATTAATGACCCTTAGGTCCTCATAATAACTCTCTAATTTTGAATTATCCAAATTAAAGTTATTATACCTACAATGCATTAGTAGGCCAAGGTTTGTTAATAAATAGAAAAATCTTTTACAAAAAGACTAATATATTATAATATAAACAAATCATAATGATAAAATGAGTAAAAAAACTATCAAAGCAATTAATCGAATAAAAAAAAGAAATTAAAGGGATAACAAAATAATTGGATAAGTGATTGTCATGTACTGATGTTGTAGGATGGAAAAACTTTTTTCCAACTAACACGAATAAATGAGTAGGGAGAAAAAAATTAATAATGGGACCCATATGTATTTTTGAATCAATTGGAAAAAAGATTTTCCTTCCTATCCCAAAAATAATATAATGTATTATCATGAAATATTTAGATAACACAAATTCATTTTGCACTATGTACCCGATTTTTTTAATTATTTTAATAAACTCCGGTCAAATATACGAATATGTCAAAAATTATCAATTTAGCATTTATAAACCCACGATGCCCCCCATGAAATAAAAAGTGATTGGAACCTGGACTGGGCTTCCTGTACCGTACTAGCTTTTGAACTCGTTCTGTTTCGTGTTTTTATGACCCAAAAGCAAAACACCTCTCTCTCTCTCTCTCTTCGTTTTCGTATTTCGTGTCTCTCTTCCTCCGAAGTCAGGAGTTTTCAAACCATCCAACAAAGATGGAGTACTACAACAAACTGGTTCTTGCTCCAATGGTTCGCGTTGTGAGTTTATCTTCCTTATGTCTTGTCTCTTCGTTCAACAACCGCTTTTCTCTTCTTATAAATTATTTAGTGACAAACCATAACAGAACGGTTAAATTATTAATGCTTTTTATTATTTTGTTTGGTAGGGCACTCTCCCCTTTAGATTACTAGCTGCTCAATATGGTGCAGATATCACTTACGGTGAGGAAATTATTGACCATAAGATGGTTAAGTGTGAGCGCCGAATCAATGGTACACAATTTCACTTTTTTTTTTCTTTCTTTTTTTCCTTAGTTCCTTCTTATCTCTCAATTGTACGTCTTATTAGACCATCAAAATATTGATGTGTGAGAGTGGTCATTCTTTTTAAATTTTTTTTTGGTACATCTAAGTTATTTAAACCAAAAAAAAAAGTTTTAAAGCTTAAGAATGATGCAGCAGAAATATAATTTCGTTTAAATACATAAACCCCACATAATTGAAGTAGAAAGTTTCTGGCAAAAAGGGGAAATTTTTTCATGAAGATAGTCCTGTACTCTTGTGCAGTTTATCATCACTAGAGACACTAACAAATAGAAGGACAGGAGGTCTGTCATTTCTTTTTCTTCTTGTTCTTTACTTAAACTGATATTAGATAAGTAGATAACTAATCCAAAATTAAATTCTGATGTTTTAGTTTTCATTTTTTATTTTTGTTTAATAGGATAACTGACCCTCTCTAATGTTGTATTCCTCTTTTATATTTAAGTTATAATACTTATTCGCGTAATGAAATAAAATTGTGTTGTCACTTGATAATAATTGTTAATGTTTTATTCATTTATTTATTTATATTGCGGGTAGACATCAACTGCTCAGAGTTTGATTAGAAACTTTTGAGATATCTAATCATTCATATGTCTGTTGTTTTCCCCCAACTCCCTCTTAGTTTTGCTTTTCTAAGAAACCAATTATCTTCTTGGTCAGAACTCATTGGATCCACTGATTTTGTGGAGAAGGGGACAGAAAATGTTGTGTTTAGAACCTGCGATCAAGAAAAAAATAGGGTTGTTTTTCAAATAGGCACGTCTGATGCTGTGAGGGCCCTAACTGTTGCCCAGTTAGTGTAAGTTAATTGTATCTTCGGTTTCCGTCTTTACTCTGAAGTTGATGTATTTTTTTGCTTTTACTTTTTTAAATGAAATGATTGTTTAATGTTGGTCATAGAATTTTTTATATGTTCGGTTGTCCAGTGGCATCAATCACACCATGTAGAAGCCGATAAGGCTTGGTTGTTATTATTGTTGCTGGCTCTTTATAGTTGTTTATTGATCTTACTATACATGAGAATGAAGGTGTGTTCACATATTACATTAAAAACATTGCAATCTTAGTCGTAGTTATGCTTGGCCAAAATATCTTTCCCCTCATTTACAAATACAAAAAAAAAAAAAAAAAAAAAAAATATCTTTCCCCTCTTCCAATTCCAAATATAGCACCCCAACGAAAGATTAAAACATTCTAAGATGTGAAGTATGTTATGTTTTCATTTGTGCACTAAGGTTGCGATACAAGATTGTTACATGTGGCTTTTCTAACATCCAACAAGCAATTTAGTGAAGAGGTGTTAGTTGTTTCTTTGTGTTCCTTTTCCTATGTTTTAGTTATGTTTCTTGGGGGTGGGGTGGGATTGGGTTGCAGGTGTAATGATGTTGCTGCAATCGATATTAACATGGGTTGCCCGAAGTCATTTTCTTTGAGTGGTGGGATGGGTGCTGCCCTGTTGTCCAAACCAGAACTTATTCATGATGTAAGTCTTATAATCTGCAGTTGTTCTGATTGTACTTCTACAATGTGTTTGAATTCTTCCTCTTTAAAAATCCAGATATTAACAACATTAAGGAGGAATTTAAGCACACCAGTAACATGTAAGATTCGACTTCTAAAATCACCACATGATACAGTGGAATTAGCCAGGCGAATTGAGAAAACTGGTGTATCTGCTCTTGCAGTCCATGGAAGGTAATCTCCAAATATTGTTTCTTTTTCCTGGACCTTTCTGATTACGGTGGGAACTACAATCTTGCTGTTTTGCTTTCTTTAGGCCCTCATTCTCAAATTAGTCAACAGCAACCAACAAACAAGCATTATCTTACATTGGCACCAATAGGATCTGTCACAATTCTATTGTTGATCCATGTTATAAAAAAATTCACCCAAGTTTTTCATTGTGTACAGACTACATAACAGAACCCTCCTTTATTTTCTGGACTTGGGATACTATATAATGTTTGGCAAAAAAGCCTGACATAGGTAGAGTTAACTGTTCTCAAATCAGTCAATTCAGGATAATTACTTTCCTCATTTTTTAATCCAATTGTGATGAATGAATTTTTCAAACAATTAGGATATGGAAAACAAACTATCTTCGTAATAATGATGCTGATAAGAAACCAACTCAACCTTGGAAGAGCCTTACCCCAATAGTTAGTCCATGAGGTAGGAGAGCCCAAAGTTCATATAAACCCACACTAGAATCATATGTTTCTGATGTACGATTCCAAGTTTCATACCTTGAAGTAAGATCGTAACATTCCATCACGCTCCGCAGCCTCGGCATCCACGCGGACTAGCTTTGTGGTAGTCTTTTACTAGCCCTGGGCGAACATTGCAAGGCTAGCGTTACCACCCGTGCCGCTCGATTACAACTGGGAGACATAGTGGAAGGCTCTGATACCAATTTGATAAGAACCCAACTCCAAAAGCAAGTTAAAATAACAAAACACAAGAATTTGGCCTGGAAATTCAGATTTTATTTATATATGTATTAACAGTAAATGATTACAATTGATAAAATAAACTAATCTAATTACAGAATTCAAATGACGTGAAAGAAAGGAAAATTGATAAAAGGAACAAAACAATGAGTGAAGCAATTCAAGAGGCCTCACACTGTCCCAATTCCAAAAGATATCCCAGATATTTCCATTGCTCCTCCTTTCCCCTATTTAACTACTCCAGCACCATCTACGTTGATTCCAACCCTCCTTCCAAATCTCAACTGATTTCCTCATAACAAACTAGGGAATATTCTTTGCTAACTCGGCATGCTTATGGGCAAGTGATCCACTACACCTCTTCCTACTATAAGCCTTCCCTGTTGGGTTCCTATCAAATGCATAATGTGTTAGGATAATTTTACCTTCTTCTTTTTTTTTGATAATTTATGCTATTTTTGGGATAATTGTGCTTCCTTATTCTAAGGGATTTTATCATTGTAGGAACCTTAAGTCCTTAGGATTTTATCTTATCTTTAGTAACTTATTTGTATACCTTTTTATTATGATTAGATGCCTAGTATTTAACCTAATTTCTAGTGTAAATAGGGGTTGGTGTTTTGTCTTTTGTATCATATCATAAAGACACCATATAAATCTATTATTCAAGATTTTTATTCTCTTTTCCACCTTACGTACTTAAACCCTTTAATTTCAATGTGGTATTAGAGTGGTGCCTTCCTCCATGTCTTATCTTGTCACTATTCCTCTGCTGAGTTCCCTAAAATTTGTAACTCTTTTGTTTGGTATACTCTGTTTTGACCATCCTTAATCTTCAGCAATTAATTTTTTCCTTCCCATTGGCTTACTATGACAAATTCTGGCCACTTAAACCCAATATTTTCTTCCACCGACGTCACTTTCTCTTTCCTATACCTTCGCCTGCCTCCTTTTTCTGGCAACCTTTCCTGTATATACCGTTGGCCTAGTCCCAAAGCCCCAGATACACATACACCACACAATAAGCCTTGAATGCATGCATTTCTTGCGGCATCTTCAGCATCCATCACCACCGTTTGACTCGGATTCCCCTCCTCTACACAGATATTTCCTTATCTTCTTGGATCGCACATTGTCAATGGCTTTTTGACTTACCCTGCTGTGCTTTGTTTTGGCGTCCATTATGATTTTTCAACTGTTTCTTCTCTCAACTTGACATTGTTTTTGGCTACTATTTGTATCTTTTCTAGCATAACATTGAGAGGAAAAAGGTACAATTATCACCAAAGCCAACTTATAACTCAATGCATGTGTTTAGTCTTGTCAATGATTTGTCAAGTGGTGACTTTACTCACTAATGGTCATACTAGTGGTGATTTTCTTTGCTCCGTGAATCATACAGGAGGTGATTTATCATCCCTACCGATGTCATAAATCATACTAGTGGTGATTTCTTTATTAGCTATGATTTATACTGTTAGAGACATAATATAAAAAAAACCCATTAATACAACCTCATCAAAAAGCTTAAGCTTTTGGGTTGAATTAGATCTTTACATGGTATCATAGCTTCTGTGATCAAGTGGTCATGAGTTCAATCCTCACCGCCCCCATTCTATTGAAAAAAATAATAATTAAATATTGTGGAGCTTCTTAGAACAGGTAGGCGATGCTTGATGCATTGTCCTCCCTTCAAGCCCAATGGGCTCTTGTGGTGGGGGTGTGTTAGAGAGACATTATATTAAAAAAATTATTAATGTAACCTCACCTAAAAGCTTAAGCTTTTTGGTTGAATTCATTCTTTACACATGCTACCCTCATTCTTAATTTCCATGGTTGTGATTCAAACTAGCTTTAGTTTCAATTTTTTTGCTAAATTTTGGGTCTCCTAAATTTTGTTACAGTTTTCAACTTTCAAATGTTGTTTAGAGAATTTTGGGCTTCTTGTGCTTGATTGCTTTTCATGAAATTTCCGTAATCATTTCAGCAGTACTCATCTCTTTGGTATTTATAGCATCCTTGGGTTGTTTTTCCAGCTGTGTTTTATGTAGCCTACTTCATATTTTTGTTATTTTCCTTTTTAAAGTGTTCATTTGTGACAAGCTTAAAGCTTAGTAAGCTTTAACTTGGAGGGGTACTGTCAGAATATCTACAGAGTTTCTTAGTGGAAGAGAATGATGTATACATAATAGATTAGGATAATTTATGTTATTTTAGGGATACTTGTGTATCTTATTTTTAGCAGGATCATATCTTGCTAGGAACCTTATTGGTTGGGATTTTATCTCATCTTTAGTAAATTATTTTTTTTCCTTATCTAATTAGGATTAGGAGTCTAATACTTAACCTAATTCCTAGTGTTAGAATAGGAAATATTAGATATATAGATTTGTATAGATTACCTTCCTATCTGTAAATATTTTTTTCCTATTTAGTTTTGTATTAGGTCTGGGCTTCTCACTTAAGCCCATTAGGGTCTCTATATATTGTAACTCTCTGTATTAGCTTAATACACAACATATTATTTTATATTCAAGTTGGTACCAGAGCTCTTTTGTTCTGGGGACCCTCGCTTTCGCTTAAAACTTGGTTCCGCTTTAAAACCTAAGCCCACTGCTTCAGAATCCTCTTTTATTTGTCGTGCCCATATAGGGCTGTAAGCTCCTTTGGAATAATTTCCGAACGCGTCAGCACCTCCGACAACCACCGGAACCAACGTCCAACACTGTTTAGGCCGCCGGAGAAGTTTTCTGGCGAGTTTTCTAACCAAACCACCCGCGATCAAGACCCTCTCCTCCCGGCGACCAGTTCTGTGGAGGTCCGACCACCAACGCAGCCGTCATGCGCCTCCACGCGCCGCCCGTCTCCTCTGCGCGTGGTGCTCACGCGCCACTTTCTGCCAGCGCGTGTGCACTGTTCCGGTGGAGTTTTCCGGCCGTTCTTGGACAGAAAGGCTCGCCTTCTCCTCCTCTTTCCAGATCTGTGGTTGGTTCTTTGTGGGTCTCACTTTTTGTGCGCACCTCTTCTTGATTTGCGATCAGGTTAGTTTCTACTCACTTGGTTGTACGTCCTTGTGATTTATTATAATGGCAGCATCTTCTCTTGTTCACTCGGAGATCAGTTCTCCCTCTCGTCCTGCCAAAAGTTTCCCTAATGTCATCTCCACCAATGTTGGGCTCATTACCTCTTCAAAGCTGAAGGGTTCCGTTAATTACAAGAATTGGACCACCTCTGTTCGAGTTTGGTTCTTTGGACAGGGACATAGGAACCATCTCACAACTAAATCTACTTATATTCCTATGGAAGAAAAATCTGATTGGGAAAGGATTGACAACCAGCTTCTGAGTATCCTTTGGCAATCTATTGATCCAATCGTCTTGATATTTTCTATTCTTTTCAAACCTGCAATGTAGTGTGGGAGGAAGCAAAACACCTCTATACTAATGATGTTCAGCAGCTCTATTCCATCATGTCTCAGTTTATGGATCTGCGCAAATCATCTGACACTCAGATGGAGACATATGTTGGCAAAAGTCAATCTCTGATGCAGGCATATTTGGATATGTTGTCCTACCTTACTGATGCTTCTGCATATCGGAAATAGGTGGAACCTCTCTTTATGGTCGCCACACTTTTTGGTCTTCCCGTAGAATATGATAATGTCCGGGATACTATCTTGACCAGTGGGGATCCTGATCTATCAATGACGTATCAGCGTCTTCTGAACCTTAATAAGAAATCTGCTCCTGCATCGTCTTTTGTTATTGATTCCACTGCTCTAGTTTCACGTACTGACTTTCGCGGGACCATTGGAGGTGGTCGTGGTCGTGGTAGAGGCCAGAGAGGACGTGGCCCAGGAGGACGTGGTCAATGACCTCGTTGTCATTATTGTCAGCCACTCGGTCATTATGAGGAACGTTGTTACACAAAGTATCCTCACCTGCGACCCTCTCATGTTGCTAATATAGCTCAATCAGATACTGCTTCAACTGGTACAGTCTCTCTCCTCTGAAGACAATGCAGCACTCTAGACCCTTATCAGGAAGGCCTCTCCTCAGTCTCAGCCCTCTGCTTCAGAAACTGGTAATCCCGTTGCTTTTTTTCTCATTCTACATCACTTAGTCATTGGATATTTGACTCAGGTGCTACTGATCACCTTTGTGGTAATAAGGAACTCTTTTCATCTCTTACATATTCTGATAATTTACCCTCCTTTACTCTTGTTGATGACACTAAAGCCCCTGT